GGGGGGCGGGGGCGCGGGGGGGGGGGGGGGGGGGGGGGGGGGGCGGGGGGGGCTAGCGATCTCAAAGCGGTGAAAACAGTAGAAGAGACAAGGGTCGATAAGGCATCTTTTCTCCTCCAAACATTTTCGAAAACAAACCATATGAGAATAATAAGTCACTTATGAGCTATGACCTGGGTATAGTCTCTTATCTTGGTTTAGCATCAAGATTTTTTGACAACTCTACCTCCTCTCACTGCTTCCTCAGACATTCGAAAAAGAGATTTTGTCTCTTGTTGCAATGAAATGCATGCAGTTGTACAGAATCGACGATCCTGATTACAAATACTGTCGTGATTGTTCTATGAATCCTTTTGGTAAGCTATATGACAAGATTTTGAAAATTTTTCACTTGTGGCGAAAAAAAGATTTTAGAAAGACTTTTATCTTCTCTCGATTTCATAAAATGCTTTAAATCTTTGAAAAGACATGCAATAGAGGCAATCGAGTATTCTCTATCTGTTGATATATAAATTATGACACTTAAGCGTATAGATCAGCTCACACGGATATCAGTTTGTGTGTGGATGGATGCGCATCAATGTATCTCAAGAGATTTCACTCACGGATCCAGACATGCATACAACCTAGCCGAGATCTACGGAATACCCACTTATCTGCACCCAACCAACTATACCCACATCCACTAATACACCAGCTTCCACCCGATTCACTGCGTCATCATTCTGGCGTCCCTTAAAAATCAGTCACTTCAACACGTCAACCTTCGAGCACCTATTAATCCACAAGGATCCAATGCCCTAAAGCCATGCTAACCGATCGACACTAGCACTAAACAACCCGCATTGGTACACTCAATTTTGCTTACGCTTACGCTCATATGCTGATGACATCAGGAACAAAGAGCCAATGGGTGTGGGTAGTTGGGATTGGTTCTAGACCTGATGGTTATCTTGGTTCGATAGATGCTTGTAGTTCGACGCTTGAGGATGACTAGTTTTTCAGGTGGCTTGGAGAGATATTGGTGTGGGTATATTTGGTTGGTTGAACGCAGTTGAATGGGCAGTCTCCTCTTGCCACGCTCATGCGTACGCATCCACTCCCACAAAATTAAAAAAAAATGTCTGTTTTTAGTATTATATTGCATTTCTTTAGAGAAAAGTGAAAATTTTTCCCCCCAACCAAGAACATATTCAGATAGAGTGTGACTAACTGCATTCCCTGCTCATATTTCGGACGGCGATAAAGTCAAATGAGAAGATCATTTTTTTCAAACAAGAATGATGCACCCCGATTTGCCCATAATCGTGCCGGGAATGTGCTTTTGTAAGTTGATATATTTGCTAAAGTGTCACAATTTCCACATATTGATGAATACTAAGCACTGTATGAAATTCAAGACAATTGACTGATCAATGTAGGAGCATATTGAACATAGTAGATAGAAGAAACTGTTAGAGTAGCTTTTCTAGTTTGTATTAACAGTTCCTATCGAAAGTTTTGCGGAAGGAATGCGAAATCTACAAAATGACGATTAGTGAAAATCGAAATGTTTGATATTTTTTTATGTTATAGCACCAATCAAAAACTACAAGCAGCTGTCAGAATACCAATTATGAGTAGTCATGTATTATTGACATTGATTATTTTGTGTTATTTGAAAAATTTGTGTAGAACAGTTGATTTGTAAAAGTTGTTTCTTGGGCAAGTGTATGTACAGCATCTCTATTATAGATTCTTGAAATTAGTCGTTCAGCAATTAAGATACATAAACAAAACACGATATTTTCATTTAATATTCAATATGATTTTAGTTTTTGTTTATGACATTCTTAGATCAAATAATAACACCTAGTCAACATGTTAATGACTATATTATTTTTATCGTTTAATTAATTAAATTTCATTTTACATTGAATGAATCAAGAAAAAAATCAGTTTAAAGCTTAAAACATATAAGAAATGACATTCAATAAATATTTTAATATCAAATATTTAATGAATATTATAAATCTCCATAGAGGAAGAACGAAAATAAACATTCGTCGTATACGAATACATATTTACATATAACGACATCATCATCACATAAAAACAGACGAAAATCTGACATCAACTTGAATCATAAAATTCGCTTTCAACTAATTTTTCTCGAAATAATGTATACCAAGCTATAGTATGTTGATTTAATGTTAAATTATCAAGTTGAATATATGCTTCACCAATACATTGATTTTTTTCAAATTTACCACCACGTTGCCATACTGTTACTTGAAGACGACGACCTGAAATATTTGTTTTTTGTTTTTAATATTTCAAACGAAGAATAGAAATATTTTAAAGAATCTTTACCCATGACATTGCATGCATTATATTTTAATTTTGAATGATATTCTGGATTATAACTTCCTTTTGTAGTAGCTGTTTTACGTTTTTGTACACGGCGTGTGCCTGTTCGAAGATATCTATTAACAAATGAAACATTCATAATAAATTCAAAATCTCAAAAGTAAATTCTTCTTCAACTAATGTATTAATTTTGAATGATCGAAAGAAGGTAACGATAAACTCTATATTTACTTTCAAGAATTGTTTTAGTTCTAAAGGGCATGTTTTTCCTGTTGTATGCGTTAATTGAAACAAAGCAGAAGCAAATCAAATTATTCCAAGTTAATTTAGAGAGACAACAAGCAATGTTTAGTTGAAAGCATAGTGCTACCGAGAATAAAAATAGCTTCACAAATATACTCTTTGTAGTGAAATAACAAGGAGACCACAAAAAAAAGTAGGGCAGTGCCTTAAGATCTTCAAGGTGATCCATGAAATACAGTGCCATGGATCGTAACTATTACGGTTTTCTTGCTTGTAGTGGTTGAACAACAATCAATCTAGCCATTCTTTGGTTACGCCATTATTTTTTTTTCTCTAGATTTAAGTATATTTTTATTGATTGTTAGTATCAGTATATGGAAACTTATTCAGGCTTTCCTCTTCCTCTCACAGTTAAGCTGTTAGCAGCTTAATCCCTGCGGAATTACAATATGAAACACGATGTATTTGGTGCTACTAATCACATAGAGACTGTTTTAATCCATCTATTTTGAGACACATTTTTTTTATCATACTTTTACTTAATCCTCCAGCAATACAATAAGGAAATAGTTTATATATTATAAAGAGACATTATTCATATAACGTCTTTTATCGTGTATCAACAATTTCTGTCACAGTGTGTGATGTGGATGGACTGCGAATTTCTATCCTATATATTTCAACACTTCTTTTAGATCGTGTTTCACAAAATTCAAAACCATCAAAATTAAGATAAATACGTGGGAGGATAATCTGATAATTAATCTTTTATAATCGAAATAGTTTGTTGATTGGTGTCTTATTTTGTAATATGATTTTCGATGATTTGTATCATCTATTTCGAAAAAAAGCGTTTTTTTTCAATAAACATCGATTTGATGATTTCTATTTACTAAAATATGAATTGAAACGGTTTCTAAACACACCTTAAAAAGTTTTCGTAAGATTCAAAAAAGATGTTCCAACATTAAAGAGAATTTAACTAGCCAATAGAAATGAGTAGAGTTTAAAATATTAAAATATTGCGAAATTTCTATTCAAAAAACATTTTTCGTTTCTTTCACTGTTTATGCATTTTTAATAGTGCACATTCCAGAATTCTCACATGAGCTTCATTTTAGTACATTTTTTTTTAAGAACATATCACAATGTAGGTCATGACTGAGTTCTTTTTTTCTGCATTAAGGATTGTTTTTATTATATATATTAGCCTTTCTATAAATAGATCTCCACTTTTAGTGTTCTTGAGACATTGAACTTGTCACTTTTTTCCTGCACATGAAAAGTAAGAATATAAAATAGAAAGCTTCTTTCATATCCGTGCATCTTGACATGCTCTTTCAAAAAAAAAAGATAAATATATAGAATGAGGATGTACAGACAAGTCTAGATTATCCAATGAACTATTTGTTTCGTGAATATCTCTCTCAAACGTGATGTTGTACAACAGAAAATTTTTACTATAGCTTCTTCATTACAAGTCTAATATATTGTGAAAATTTCAGACTATTTGAATATACGTGACACTTAATCGGTTTTTTAAGAGATGGAGTCTTAATGAGAATATACCGTGTAAGTATCAGACGATTTATCAAATCTTTTGAGCTTAACAAATCCGCTTAGTCTCTCTTAAAATAATTATTTTGTCACATAAACTATCAGTTGTGTTGCGGTCTTTTTTCTAAAGCTGTAAAAAAGTGACCTCAAAGGCTTTTAAACTTTCAGAGAAATTAATAAAAAAAAAAATTTCTTCTTAAAAAGTATTTTCTAATTGTTTACTTAGTATCTTATTATAGTAACGAGTGATTGAAAACTTTTTACACAAAGATGTTTGCTCACTTGTGACCTACTAGAAAGTGGTTTCGACGTGTCAAAAGCCATGAGTTAAGATCACAGTTTTATGCTTTTTTCGAAAGCAGTAAAATCATTTTTAAAAAGTTCTACAATTTTAGTTCGAACAAAAAATGATTGTACTTTCACCATTGTGATCCGAAACTAAAAGATAGGACCTCTATTTATATATCGGCTTGTAGATCAGAAACTATCCTACAAAATACTTTATTTCAAGTTTCTTTTGTTTTTTCACAAGGCATCTCAATTTTCGTTTTTGCTAAATACTTATTTTTGAAAAATCGGTAATGATTTTACGTTGAAAGAAACTCTTGAAAAAATGCTTCTAACTTCACTTAAGTAAAAGCTACAGCTCAATTTGATTTCATATTTTGTAGACAAATATCTGCTCTATAAAACGGTCGACTTCGACAATTTTTAGCATGTTTAAAAAGAGATTTAGAGGATATGCAAAAATCTATTGGCTCACAATTAAAAATAATTTTTTCGATCGTTCAAAAAGTTCCTCACTACTCTTGAACAAAAATAAACATAAGATTTCTAAGCCCGTATCCGAAGAGTATGGAATTCTGATTTTAACTCATAGCTTTGAACTCGTCGGAAATATTTCATAGCAAGTTAAAAGTAAATAAACATCTTCTCTTAAAAACATTCTGATCACCTGTAATAGGTATTTTTGATAAAGTTGTTCTCTCTACTATACTTATTTTCTTCTTAAAACTTCACAGTTATCAGTACTTTTTTTTTCAAAATATACTACTGTCAAACAATTATATACATTCTAATCTAAATCAGAACAAATGAATGAAAATACTTTCTGTCAATTTTGTAGTCTCTCCCACCTATAAAAACTACTAACAACCTTGATAGTAACTTACGTTTTAACATATGTATCAGGAGGAATATCTTCAGCTTTGGCTCCATTATTATTATTATTATTATTATCGCTATTATCATCAATAATTCGTTCTAATCCTTTTGCAGATATAATATCAATTTCTAAAAGACCTTTTGTAACAACTAAACCAAGTTGAATTTTTCCCATATGCATATAATCATGAATCATATTTTCATAATTTCTTGGTGTAACTTGTCCTGGACCAACAGTATGTGTTTGAACATTATTATTATCATTTATTTGTTCTTGTTGTTGTTCTGATAATGTAAAATATCGATCAATATCATCATCACTATCCAAATTAGATGTAGCTGATGATTTTCTTGAACCTGATATAGATGAATGTCGTGATGAGGGAATATAAGGTAACATTAATTGTCCAATAGGCATTTGTTGTAATGGAATAGGACGTATTAATGTTTGTTGTTGTTGTTCATCTTGATTTATTGTTGATATTAAACTTTGACGTGGTGATTTATTTATATTAGTAGATGTATTATCTAATGTAAGACCAGCTGATATATCAATATGATGTTCTTTATCAATATTTGTATCTATTTGTGATGATAGTTTTCGTGACGCTGGACTTTTTGGTGATTCAGGTGTTGATTCACTAAAACGTCTTGTATGAACATCGAATAATTTCGATATTCCTTTTGATATTCGACGTTTTAGTTTAACTGATTGTATAGTTATTGCTGATAGACGTCGATGAGTATCTTCATCATTTTTACCATCATCAATATTAGTCATTATAATAGTTGGAATTGTTGAACCAGTCGTATTTGCATGTTTGGAAGTTGTTTGTGAAGAAGAATTTTTTCGATTAGAATCAATTTTATTTATCATCGAAGAATTTATTGTATGTATTAATGCATCTGTAGATGTTTTTGTTCGTTCATCATGTTTATTGGATAGTAATAATGGTGGCATTTTACGACAACTATCAGCACTTTCTATTGATGATGATTTAAATGTAACACTTGATGCTGATGGTTTACGTGTTTGACGATCACGTAATTCATACCAACGTGGTTCATCTTCAAGATTAGCTTCATTTAATGGTAATTGTATCATACCAAGAAAGTCATCAGATTCATCTGTACTATCATTATTTGTTTGATATTGTTTTTTATCCCAAAGTAAAATTTCAAGATGAAGAACATCCACACTTTCAACTTCATGAAAAACAAATGTTTCATTATAAACTGGATTTGATGAGTGAATTATTTTTGTTTCAAACATATCAAAACCACGATCTTCAAAAAGCATTTTACCAGTTATAAATGCATATGGTTGATCACCATTCGATCGTAAAGCAAGATGACTTGCTTGTATTATTGTTAAAGCTAATTTCATATCGTCAACATCATGCCAAATTTGAGCTTCAAAGAAAAAGAAAAAATATTGAAATAATTTTAAGAGAAATATCTTTGATCATTTTTTCAAGAATATTGTACGTCATTCTATGAACATTTATTATTAATTTTAATATCGGATCGCTCTTTTGAACAATATTCTTTGTAATTCTCATCGCCAGAGCAAATTTTATCATATATTAATTAGTAAATTTTTCCATTAAAAAAAATTCTATGAATATAAAATTTAATTTTTCTTTTGTAAAAAGTGTTCGATAGAACTCATAAATCTCAAGAGAGAAAGTTTATTTACAACAATATTATAGGTTAAAGTCAAGATGCAATAATACTGAAATGTCAAGTGGTACTTTTATTCTATATGAATATCTGTGCTAGCATTTGCATAAATAAATTTATAGCTGCTTATTTGAGACCATTGTCTCTTTGAGTTTCTTTTTAGATTTTTTCTTAAGTGTGAAATTGTTTAAAAGAATAAGAGAAAATTAAATCGACAAAATTTCATTGATTTGCCATGAAAGAAAATTTGAATTGTTGCAAAGTTGTTTTCAATTAGATTTTCATATGTTATTATCTCACTATAGTAACGATTATTTTCTATTCCTATGGATTGTCATCTTTATAATCAGAGGACAAAAAAAAGACCTTAGTTCTCTTGAAATAACAAGGACATTTTAAGTGCACACTTAAAGATGGAAATTATAAGATAATAGTTCGTCGGAAAAAGTGTTAATCATATTCATTTTTTTTTTAAATATTTCTTTCATTCTTTATAATGAAAATATTCTACCTAGAAGTCTTCCACGATTAATTAAAATTGGTTTAAGTTCTTTAACATTTGGCACTTCAAGTGTTTCAACAGTTTCATATAATTCTTTTTTTTTCTGTTTAGGAATTGTTGATGATAATGATGGTGGTAATGGTGGTAAATTTCGTCGTTTTCGTGTTAATGATGATGATAGACGGGGTACAGTTTCAAAATGTCTTGAAATTTCAATAGATGATAATGTTTGACCATTATTTATTTGTAATCTAACATTATTATGTTGAACAACTAATTGTACAATATCACCACAATGATCTTGTAAAATTCGTACTTCTTCATATGTTGATTCAATTAATGAATGTCCATTAAATTCAAGTATTTGATCACCTACTTCAATATTACCTTGTACATCAGCTGGACCACCGTATAGAATATTTGTTACAAAACATCCTTAGAGAAAAACAAAATAAATAAATATTTTTTTTATTAAATGAATGAATATATTAAAATTAATATTCAACTAACCAAGACTACTATCTTCACATTCTTGTCCACCGATAATACGCATTCCAAGACCATTTGTTCGTATTGATGTATCATTTTTATCTCGATGAAGTAAAATTCGATGTGGATTTGATGGTGGTGTACGTGCACGTAATTTTGAACTTTCTTCAGCATGTAAATAAATATTTTCACATGTTTCAATTGTTTTTCTTCGATCACCACCTGTTAAACCTGATCCAGATGATGGTATAGGTAAACCAAGTGTTGATGAAGCATTAGTTATTGGTGACATAGAAGTAAATTCTACTTCAGGATTGCAACCATAACAAAATTCTTCTGATAAAGTTTGTCGACGAAGTTTAGGTGGTTTACTAAAAAAAAATAAAGTTATGTATGAATTAATTAAACAAGATTTTTATAAGAAAACGATAATTCATCGAAAAAAAATAAAGGAGACGCTGAAAATTTCTAGACAAAATAATTTACTATTTTTCGTGTATTTTGAATGTATTGGAAAACAATGAAAAGTAATATATTAGAATTAGTGACTCTTGACTATAGAGATATAAGTAAGCCTTGACAACAACTTAAACATTTTTTTTTGGAAGAAAAAACCTCAAATGAAACTTGTTTCAAACATGCTACAAAATTGTATCAAGTATATTGGAAAATACAAAAAAAAATCTATATAAAGCGGTACATTTGAATAAAATTTTTGGCAAACTTTGAGGCGCAGTAAAAACTTTTATGAAGTCTATCGTAACAAAAAAATGGCTGTTTTTCTGATTTTCACCTTGTCAACAAAACATAATCCTGTGTCACTTTGTAAAGGATTAATCAAAACTCTGCATTCTCGCGTTATTTTGAAGAGTAAAGATCATCCTTAAATACTATATATTTACAGAATTTATTCTATGTCAACAGGAAGCAGAGTTGTCTTCAAAAATTTTTGTGAGTTCTATCAAGATTTACTTATAGGTCAATAGTCAAAAGTCACAGAAAAGTTCTTACCATATATTTTGAACGATCACATATTTCTGATTCTTATACATTACGCTTCATTTTTTCCCGATACATTTAAATATGCGAAAAATAGTCAAATATTCTATGTGGAAACTCTTGGCCCATCGCGTAGTCCATTAGAAATATATGAAGTATGAAATTTTATTTAGTACACATAACTCTTTTTTTCTTATTCGACACGAATAATAATCGACAAATTTATAGTAATGCACAAGAAAAACCATCAACGCAGATAACTAAATTAAACAAGCACCACAACAAAGAGACTATTACTAAACTGAAAATCATGACAAAACAGCACATGTTTCTCTGATATGCACACGATATGAACTAGAATTTGTTTTCAAAGTTAAAGTTATTAAATACACAGATTTTCATGAAATTATATCAAAATTAATTCTGATGGCAAAATTGAACTAAGAAGAAAAACATTTAAAATATCTTATACGTCTAATGTCATTAGATTATGCAGTCAAACCTAATATTTTATGTAAAAATGCTGTTAGCACAATCCCAGCGGGATTAAAATATGAAACATAATGTAGTTGCTGCTGTTAGTAACATAGAGATTGTTTTGCTTCTATCAACTTTGAGAGATATTTCTTCACCATCCTTTTACTTAATCCTCCAGAGATACAATAAGAAAGTAGTTCATATATAATAATGAGACTTTATTAATATATGATCTTTGATCGTATATCAACAATGTCTGTCACGTTTATGATAGACTCGTTACTACGACATCTGTTACAGCTGTGGAGAGAACTCAAATTTCTTCTTCTATACTTCAACATTCTTTTTAAATCGTATTTTACAAAAAAAAACATCCACATGTCCATTATTAAACACTAAAGTTTGCTTTTAAAAATTGATTAAATGGTACTTAGTAAACTGTTTTGACATATGGTTTATGTAAAATATTACTTTCCTATTAAAAAGAAGAGTAAAATTAGCTTTAATGTTAGCCAGATGCTTAATGGTATTACACACTTATATTTTTTCTTTTCGCAAACATGAAAGAGCTGAGGAAATAACATTAATTTTTTTCTTTTTTTTTTCTGTCTCTTCAAATTAGTAATGCCTAGGGACGTAGTAGACATTTACTTCTATTTTACACGGAGCTATTATAAAAGTTAGAAGAACTACACATTACACTAAATTTTTTTTTGACTATTATTCGTATCGACGAATGTTCGTTTTCTTTTTTATTTGGTTGAATTTTGTTCACTTCTCAATATTATTTAGAATCCATAGAGTAGATTCAAGATTCAGGATTGATCGATGAATTCTGCTTGAAAAGTATGAGCCGATTATAATTTGATTATTATAAGATTATCATCAAGATCTTCTGAGAAATGTTAGGCTATACTACAGTAGTTACCGAATGCAAATCATCGAAAAACAAAAGAATGTCGTATCCTTGAAACGATAATCAGATTCGAAATGAAAAAAAAAATGTTAATAACAATGTTTAAAATATAATTCAGGTTTGAATTAGAAAATTTTAAATCTGATTGATTTTACTCTCGATGATCTTTCAGTTTCTTTCTCATATCGTACATTTTTATCTGGAAATCATATTCTGGAAATTAATTCATTTATGTAAGGCTTCAGTGCATTTCGGAGTAGAATTAAGCTATTGAAACATAATAGAATAATTTTAATTTAAGAAAAAAAAAAAGAATAAGAAATAGAAATAATTAATGCGAATATTTTTTTGTATTATATGGAGTTACCTTAATGCGATTTCGATGCTATTATCTTGTCTAATAATAATTTTTCTTGGTACTTTTGGCACATGTTCACGTTCAAGACTTAGAGAAAAATTTTCTCCTTGTTGTTGTTTAGACATTTTTGAATATAACATACGTTGTCGAACAATATCAGATAAATCGGGTGCTTTACGTACAATACATGGATAATCAAGTGAACGTTGTGGTAATAATGTATTATTAACAATAAGAAACGATTTTCGTCGTGTTAAATTTGATAAATCAACTGATTTGGTATTTGGTGATTGATGTGTATGTAATAATTTTGTATGTATTAAACGAGATGCTAATGATGAATCTGAATTAATACTTTTCGAACAAGTTGAACGATTACAAAGAGAATTTTCATGTACAATTTGAGATGGTTGTTCATGTGATGTATATGATGATGATGATGATGATGGTAGAAATTTAATTTCATCTATAGAATTTGTGTTTTGATTATTATTTGATAAAATTTTACAGTTCAAAGGAATTTCTGGTAAACGACGAGAAGAACGTCGTCGACGTAAAACTGCATTTGATGAATCAGTTTTAGAATTTATTCTTGTTGAAGATGATGATGAATTTTTTTTATCTTTATATGTTAAAGAATTTGTTGTTGAATCTGATAAAACTGTTGGATTACACGTACTATTGTATTGATTATTATTATTATTTGTTATGGATTCTACATCTTCCAATGTTGTTGTCCATTGATAATCGCGATGCATTAATGTTCGTTTACGTGCCCATGTATCAGAATTTCGAACACCTGTAGAATTTGTTTGTTGTTGATGATGATTATTGTTATCATTATTATTTGATATAAAAGAATTTTCTGTTATTGATGGTGTTGTTATTATTGGAGTAGAAAAATAATCCATTGCCTATAGAAATATAAAAGAATATTTTTTTCAGCACAAAATTATTTAAAAATAGAAACCATGAATGAATGATGTATGTCACTTGAGACTATTTCTCATTTTTATATGAGAAATGACAAAATGTTTTTTGATGTGCTAAGACAACTTTAACATGTTTTATGTCAAACTTTTTAATTGTCTTTACATGACTATAGGTTGAATATAGAACGGAAAGAACGAATACTAATCTTAGATGATCATATAGAACGATGTACATTCATATTATCTCTTGTTATTTTTTTTTCTCTTTTATTTCTATTCTTTATTTATGTGAATGTTCTAAAGGAAACATCTTCACACTTTTTTTTCAGCTCACTCTCTTTATATATGTAGTAGTTGTAAGTTATTTTGTTTCTGTAGGAAAAACATTATAAAAATATTACTAAGTATAAATAAGTAGTTGCTAGCCAAATGATTAAATATATATATATATATATATGTTTGTATATTTAACAAAGAATAGTATTCTTATAAAATATTTAAAATATTCTTTTTGTAGACGATGATTATCAAAACTTACCATGCTAACATCAATATTCGCTTCAGGTGAAGTAAGACTCTCACTTCGATGTTGTTCAGTCATTCGCAAAGGCAATGAAGATATCTTTTGTACTGTTTGTATCACAGGTTTTGCTGATAAACTTAAACGGCGATGTCGTTCGTCATATGTCAATCCTTGTTCTTTTTCAGAATTTTCTTCATCAACTATTTTTGGATTACTACTATCCATGTTTGTTTCAAAACTTTGAGAATAAAATTCACTAGCTGTATCACATGGCTGTTCTGATGTTGTGTCTTCGAATGAAGGATCTGTTATTATACTTGATGTTGTTGGTTGTGGCTGAAGTGGTACTGGTGCTTGCACTAATGGTGATGAAAATTGACATAATTGTGTTGGACTTTTCGATGAGACGTCACGTATAAATGATATACGATGATTTGATCTAGGTGATAGTGATGGAACAGTTGATGTATCGGTAAGTGTCGCTGTTGGCTCAGGTATTTGATCAAATGAGGATGAATTTGTTTCATGTGAAGCCATTAATATTTGTGATGGTGTTAGTTGATGAGTATTAGGACGCCATAGACGTGTGAAAAAATTTGTTGATTCACTTAGAATTTTTGATTTACGCTCATGTTGTGGTGATGGTGATGGTGATGTTGATGAAGATATTGGTGTTGAACCAGTTGATGCACGAAAAGCTGCTAATTTTTGTAATAAACGAACAGGTGAATGAACTGGTACTTCATCTTCAGTAGTATTCCAAGAACCTCGAAAAAGATTCATTTTGAATGTTGAATGAAAGGGAATGGGAAGAAAAGTGATGATGATAAGAGTGTGAATAATGAGACATTTTTTTCTTATCATTATAAAAAGAAGAGAAAGTAGAAGAGAGAAAAAACCTAGTCGAAACTGTAATTTATTCATTCTTCTTCTCTTCTTCTTCTTTTCAATAAGATTTACACATTGAATAGATGTTTTTATTCATTGAATAATTTTAATTATTTTTTTTTTACTAAAGAACATACCAGATTTCCTGATTACTTCACGACGCACAATACACATTCGGCAACGCCATTTGCATGTATGAGTTTGATTTTCAAAATGATTTCTTTCTGATATATTAATGAGTTCTGGTGATGTATAATTACCACAACGTCGACAAACAGGTCGATGACAATCAGCACATAATATAGGCGGGGAAGAACTTAAATCTTTTGATTGTACTTCAATATTTGAATAACAAATATAACATTGAACAATATCAGATGATGATAATACTATTTGATTTTGTTGTGTAGGTGATGAATTATGTGAATGAGTTGATGAAGAATGTCGTTGTCGTTGATAATCATTTTGAATCATTTGTTGAAGATGTACCATTGTACGACGTAAACCAGATAAACATTGATTTTGTTCATTTTCAATAAGAACTTGTTTTTGAAGAACAATTTCTAACTGATTGAGTTCATCAGGTGAGAGTGAAGAAAAATCAGGAGAAGGAGGCCTGATGATTGGCTCTGTTAGTGCTGTTGCCTGAGGCTGCATGTTGATGCGAGTCGATAGCAACGTCACACCCACTTGATAACATCAGCATCAATATGCTTCAACTCTTGAAGATGCATTCAGATGAACGAACTCGACTGACTCTCTCTCTTCTTATTTTTTTCTCTCTCTCTCTCTCTTCTCTCGTTCTTGAAGCGTAATTTGAAAAAAAATATGTCGTATTATGAGTGACGCACGGCATCGTTCTCGAGAGAACTGAAAAGATTCTCTTTTCTCGTTGCTGTGTTCTCAGAATGCTGATGGTAGTGTATATCTATAATGAACTCGCATACGCATAGCATAGACACAAAAGATTGGGCGTTAGCTATCTCTATCATCTTTCTTCTTTTTTTCTTCAAACATGAGACTAACGACAGCAGTCATCATAATGACAACCATTGGAAACCGAAGAGAGAGGCTTTCTTTTCCGTTCATGCCTATTGCTATAGCTGTCATCATTATTGTTGCTAAAAGAAATGTGGATTAGAGAAATTTAGTCTATTAACAAGACAATATTATCGAATCATGGTGCGATGAAACGAGTTTTCCACTTGACTGAAATTGAATATGAATACACTTTATTGGAATATGAGTATAATTAGCAAAAAAAAAAATATTGCTTGTGTCAATTTACAAATAGTATGTCAAGAACAGGAATACATATGCCATAATAATAGAGGTCAAAAAATAAAATAAAAACAGAATATATAATCAGAAAGCTGTTGGGTTGGAAAATCAAAATTTTTTGTATCATAATATTTTTCAGTGAGAAAGATAATAAATTTGTAACGGCTCTTAATTAGGACAATGTCTTTAAAAAAAACAATTATTATTAATTAATTATTTGTTTAATAATATATTCAGGAGTAATAAATAAATGAAAATCGACAGAGGTAAAAAGAAAACGTCTTTTTTATTTAGTGACTTTCCCAGATAAGGTGTTCTACTTGTAAAAAATAATTATTATTTTCAAGGATTTTACTACCCGAAAAGACCTCTTGGCAGCGGAAATAACGATCAATGTTTCACACCTCTTCCCTTTTACGTAGTTTTATAATAATTACTGTTGATGACTATCACCTTCCGTTCTAATCTAAATACTCAATATAGAATTCGATGTATTATTTAAACGTAAAGCATTATTTTTGGAGTTTAATTGCCTAATGGATATGACGGAAATACAGATACTTTGAAAAGATCAAAGCTAATGGAATGATTTGCATATGAAATTTAACCTCTTTATCATGATAGAGCTTTTATTTATAAAATAAAACAAAAAAAAAAAAAAAAAAAAAAAAAAAAAGAAAGGAAGCTTAAAGATATTGCTTACACCCTAATTATCTTAAATTCAATAGAAAAGCCAAGGCTTTTGCTAAGCTACAAAAATAATTCGTCATGATCCTTCTATAATTACTTCAATGTTTTTTCTTACTAGCAAAAATCATTTAATGTTGTTTTGTAAATACATATTTGTTATTTTTCAAAATAATGTGATCACTAATAAACAGATACATCCACTATCCAGAAATTGGAAATTCAATAGAATTCCATTGGGAATTCGAAGAATTCCACATCAAGTGAAAAGTAATAAAATTCTGTATTGCTAGAAGAATTCAAGCGAGCGATAATTCTTTCCAACGCTCACTTGCTATGTTACATGCCATTTAAGAAATTAACAAGCAAGAGAAATTCTATTGAATTTCGATTTTTTGGATAATTAGTATTGTTAGCTTTTTAGATTGTAAAATACATACATTATGGAACCATCAAAATTCTCTTTTTAAATAAAACTATTTTGAATTTTCATAACCAAACAACAAAAAATCTACTCAATAAAGTCATACACAAAAAAAAAAGAATTGATGAAACTTCAAATGTCGGTCGATGTTTTATATGTAAACGTGATCCGTCTAAAGATCGTTATGCCCCCGTTGGTTTGATGATGTAAAGGTTCAATAACAAATAATAGTTTTCAGATAGAATCAGTTGATGACCCTTCGTTGATTGATGACGACCCATTTAACAAAAACAAGTTTTGCTTGTCAACTATTTACGTACGTTTCAGATATTAGAAAAACTCTATGTGTAGCACTCAATTGTGAATTTAAAGATTGTCCCATCGGTCATAGATCAAGTATATATGATCATATTATTAAACATTAGTACCATATGTATTCAATTATTATCATCAATAGTTTGACAGAATATGAATGAATATTAATCGAAACTTGATTATCTTTATGGCAGTTCATATTAAGAAATTTGCTACGAAATAATAGACTACTTAAAGATGACAACAATCATGTTTACATTGCAACAAAATTTTTCATGTTTTTTTCTTTCAAAAAAACAAAAGAATAAATAGCTGTAGATATCAGTGTTGATTATATGAACACTATTTATATTGGTACTTTGAGTACTGAAGTGATCATGTACAATACAATCTGCTCATGTCGTTAAAATCGCCTATGCTCTGACGATTAATCATGATATTAAAAACGAACAATGATTAATCAGATTTCGAAAAAAAAAGATAATCGTTGCCTAATCACGACTTTATTTCGATAGGATCTCACAAATAATCGACAGAATAAATAGCGATATAATCGTCAATTTTTACGCGATTGTCATCGCATGAAATATGGGTAAGAAGAATTATTAAAGAATTGATCTTAAGAGAGTTACATTAGCATTAATATTATAATTAACCTTAAGACTTTGATATTATTTGCATTGAAATTGATTAATACCAATATGATAGGACTATTTTTAATTCTAATACATATACTATCTGCGACTGTATCTTTGAGAGTCTTATCCATATTCAAAAGTTTTCAATAACAGGAAAAAATATTTTTTAAAGCATGGTTGCCACTCTCAAAAACAGAACAACAAAGTTTGTCTGTACCGATAGTGTCATTCTAAAAAAGCAGAACGAAACTTTTTTTTAACCGGAAACACCATTTCCAAAAACAGAATAATGGCTTTTTGTACTAGAAGTGTCATTCTAGGACAACAGAACAAAAGATTTTTAACCGGGAGTATTATTTCCGACATAGAAAAAAAAAGGTTCTCTTATGTAAGAATTGTTTTCTGAAAACGAAAGAAAATTGTTCGATTTCAGAAACTTCTGAGCTTAAAGTATTTTAGATCTCGTCGTTATTAGTCAATGTATTAGAATAAAAAAAAATGTTTATTTAATTTTAATATCTTAGTATTAATTAATTCTAATGCAAATAATATCATAGAATTAGAATTAATTTTAATAGTAATGACTAAAGAATTAGCATTAGTATAGATAAATGTTAATACTAATTCTAATACGACACACCTAGTCGATGCTATATTTATCTGTTTTTGCTCTCCTTCACCTTAAATTTTCGATATTTTCCATTTGCAGTTTTTCTTCTTGCTATTTGTACATGTATATTTTAAAAGCTGTGTTCGAAAGATAAAATTTTTTATAAGATCAAGGGTTGCAGCGGTCAATTTCTCAAAATCAGGAAAATAGGCAGGACACAATTGAAGGAAAAAATCAGAACATTGTAAGATCTATTATGATACAATTGTCCTGAATGAAACTTGCATAAAAGTAAATAAATCAATAATAGTTCTTTGAAATCACAACATTATTTTTCTTCCAATGCATACTTTGAGTTTTGCTTGTTCCTTTTTGTTCGCATTCTGTAATTGTGTATGCTGTATGCGTTTTCTTTCCCTCATACACATGACATTGGGGAGGGAGCGCAATTTACTTTGGGTGGTTCATTTTTTTCTAACCGAAATCGCATTTTTATCGAGAAAAAGGTCGTAAAATAAAACAAGAAAATGTTGCACTCTCACACATTTTAAAATCGTACATCCATCTTTTCAGCACACAAACAAAATCCTTCCACCACGCACCTCCTGCTCCGTTCTTACTTTTCCTCTTCTTCATATTTCTGTTCTCCACACATATAAAACTACCATGTTATAGACATTAGTCTCTGAAAAATGTTCTCCTTAAATTAGTCTTTTTCGAATGTCAGACAATACAGAACTAAAACCATGTGGTGTGTATGTTAGAGATCTGCGGAGAACTCGGAAACCCAATTATGACTTCGACCCCGGCAGAGTTGGAATCGGGTTCGCGGAAAAAATACTCGGAGTTGGAGTTGGAGTCAAAATTGTAACTGCCCTCCGATTATCTTTTTCTTTTCCATATACCAAAACTTCATTTTCATATCAGTAAACAAAAACATGAAGGATAATACCTAGAGCATCGATTAATAATAAACCTTAGGACAGAAAAATGAATAAATCATCTCTTTATATGTAACATTCGAATAATCTACTAAAATGAAAACGTAACGATATTAATTGAAAGAGATATTAATGCCGCTCAAAGTATCACAACTGTCTGCATTATCAATTGCTTGGTTGTTTAAACAAAGAACATTCCAAAAAGAAAAATTGGTAAAAAACGTATTTTTAGGAGTAAAACTACGAGTTTTTTCACACATTGAAAAAAGGATGCTATTTAGAAAAAGTGAGTCTCAAGATGACATTACCCATAAGCTTGTTTCGTTTTAAGAAAAAACTATTATTTTTTAGTCTAAATAACGCACAGTTTTAGTGCGTTAAGTGAGCCTTTCTGTGTTCGGAATGCTTAATCTTCAAATGATATTGAAGAAAAAATTTCGGAGTTTCTGAAATTTGAAGTCGAAGTTGTAGAAGGAAAACCTCAGCATCGTAGTTGAAGTCATCGGAAAGAAATTTTTTGGAGTTCGAGTAGGCTTTTGAAACCAAAACAGTTGACTCTGTAAGTTTCAAGTGTAAATGAGTATAGTTGTGCGTAGGTATGAAGTTTCAGTTCAGCTTGACTCATCCTCACATTCCTTCAAGAAGCTTATTCAAATTATACAAAAGATAATGAACTAAAACAAAAATGAATTGATAAATACTAATGCTATCAATGCAAAACGAGATGCTAATGCTGAACACGAACAATAAGAAAAAAGAGA